ACACTAAGGACTGTAAGCTGCCACACATACAGAGCAAAGACCATGTTCATGCCTGTAGGCATAAGGGACAATACAGAAAATTCTCTGGAAGCTTGCACTGCAGGGAAGAACTGCAGCCCTCCTTTAGAGAGTCCTTTGGAACAAGGAGTAGGAAATGAGCTGGCATGGCATGTACATCTGCAGGGACTCATTTGCTGTAGAGTAGCCCTAAAGCAGTGCAAGATTTTTCAGGATTGCATACCACCTCTAGAGTGACTCTAGAAACCACATCACCTTCAGGCAACAGATGTAAAGGTAACTCATATTATTTAAATGATATTCTATTATGTAAGCACATTCATTACATTTAATTAGTGCACATATTATGGATGTATAGAATACATTCCTGTCACAGATAATATTGTAATTCCTGAATTTTAAGACTCATTTTGACACGCAACCTTCTGGCTGACTGGAACAACTCTTCTCTTCCTTGGCATACACAAAGCACCACATAGTGCTTATATGTGCATAACTTATGGACAGTTTTGAACATGTTGCAGGCTCTCATTATATAACAAATCCCTTTGATGTGTGTGGTTGTTGCCTGGAAATCAGTGTGAGGCTTACATGGTCCACTGGCAGCTTTGGGTTATTTAAGTCTATCATTTCCAGATGGGGCCTCGTATGATCAGTGACCAAGGCAGCCAGGTAACATTGGCTTAATGGGAACTGTTCACTGTTCTTCCACCTACTCATTATCATTTCTTTAAAAAACAGATATTTCTAGTGGGACTGATAAGCAAGTTTGGAAGAAGTTCCAGTAGCTAAATAAAACACTTCCTCTACATGGATGGCACCATGTTTCTCAGGAAATCTGTTATGTATCAATCCTTGTTAAAGAGATAAGCTGACCACTAATGCATCCTTTCCTGCTGTAATGGCAATGGAAGGAGCAAGTGAGGCACATGGGTATCTTTTTGAATCATCTAGGTGTTCAGTGTTTGATAACACTAACCTTACTGGGATCCTTGTCCTCTGCCTTCTCCTCTCTGGCTCTTTGAAGAGAGGTGGTGACTGCAGCCAGGGTTCAAAGTTCCCCTGCTTGTTCAAAGAGGGAGCAGAAATAAGCCTAATGCATCCTTTCCAGCTATAATGGCAATGGAAGGAGCAAGTGAGGCACATGGGTATCTTTTTGAATCATCTAGGTGTTCAGTGTTTGATAACACTAACCTTACTGGGATCCTTGTCCTCTGCATTCTCCTCTCTGGCTCTTTGAAGAGAGGTGGTGACTGCAGCCAGGGTTCAAAGTTCCCCTGCTTGTTCAAAGAGGGAGCAGAAATAAGTTCAAGGATGTTAGAACACAGGAATACCATAGGATTTGCACCATTTTTGGTGCTAATAGGCAGGAGCCATGCGTACTCCAGCTAGGGATGGGATTGTACCACCATCCGAGTGACAAGATTGCAAGAAACCTCTGCAGGCTGGAACCTGCTGAATTTCCCACCCTTGAAGCCAGATGTTTCCATTTGATCGATTCCCAGTCTGGTATCACTCTTGGAACAGGCTGAAGAAACAAATATGTTAAAATACTGGACTGGAATGCAAACCCAGCAAAGGCACCAGTGAGGTGTAGCAGGAACAAGTATTGAGCTGCCTTGCTCAGGGCAGAATCATTAAAAAATAAGGTAAAAGTGGAAAAGGGAGTGGAATTTATTATCTAGGTTCAGGTATGTCTACATAAAGCGAGCATGGCAGTGTAAAATGTGTCTTGTCTGAGCAGAGTCTCCACTATGGTTGGTCAAATTCAGGTGAGGTGATATCAGGTGGTTGGTACCCATTGGCCCCCTCGGGGGAAGAGGAGGGTGGGGAACTCCTGGAAGCAGGAAGGTTGAGTCATTCAGCTCTATTCTCCTTCAAGTAGTAAAGCAACATACGAGATTAGATATGCAATCTATACTGTTGCTAAAGTGGTAAATGAATAAAGGAGGGATCAAAAGGATCGGAAACTCATTCAAATGAAATTGGGTGTGAAAGTGAGCAGAAAATAGTAAAGAACTACTTAAATTTTAAAAGAACTTTAAAGTTAAAGGAGCTGGAATTTTACAGATTCTTAAGTAGTGCAGCACTACCAGAGCTATTTGCTGGGCATTAACACTCGTTGTTTTCCTTCACTGTGGTCCTGCTTGTCCTGCTATAGGTGTTAGAAAAGTCACAACCAACATTATTCCAAGTTCTTCAAACAAGAAGTTCTGACACAATGACAACCGGTGCACCAGGGGCAAAGAGTCAGAGGATAGAACACAGCTGTGAACTTTTTCATAATGAAAACATGTCCTAAGATGAAGAATGCCAGGAAATGTTTTATTTGTGCTAAGCAGCTTGACTCCAGAAGCACCAAGGTTCCACCGACTTCAGTGACTCTGTAAATCCCCCAAAGAAAGTCACTGATATGTGACTGCTGTCAGGTGATTACTTTGTGGATGTTGACTGAAATACAAGTCTTGGTAAGTGCAATGAGACCTTAGATGTTCCGAGCCATAGAGTTGTGCTCAGTGCAATTAGGAAAAGGCAAGTAATTAAATTAGGCACCAGATACATTCACCTCAGACACTGCTATTCTGAAATACACCCTTCTGAAGAACAACCCAAACTACAAACCACTGGAGTTAAAAATCCCATGCTTTGTCTGAGAGAGTTTTGAGATCTTCACTCTCACATTAGCCCACCTTCCAAGGGAAAAAGGCTGCACAAAGATCTCTTTTTTCTCCTGATGGTCCACACTGTCCTTGCACAACTGCTTTCATCACAGCTGAAAGATAGCTAGGAATTGCTGAGAATGAGAATGTTTTCCTCCTGCAAAGAGCCACACAGGAAGAGAAAAGTTAGTCCTGAAAAGAAACAAGACAAGGCAGAAACAATAAAATACATCCCTGGAGAGGAACGTGCAGCTCCAACACGTGGGTCCGAGTGCTGACAGTCCTGCGTGTGGAGATGGAACTCACAGCTCTAGAATCCCAGGCTGGAATTTGCTCTGGGATATATTACCAGCTCGGTGTGCCTAGCTGGACAGAAGCCACAGAGAGAGCAGTGCCTTCTGGTAACTCAGAGCTGGGTGGGTCAGGCAACAAAGTCCTCACTGTGCTACTGCTGAGGGAAACAGCAGCTAAGGGTAGATAGGGCTGGACATTTTCCAAAACATCTGGAGCAAGTGAACCTCTTAAGCCAGACCTGCCCAGTGCTCTGGTTGTGATCTGGAACTATTAGAGAGATGTCTGTCCACTGGAGTAGATATTAATTAATTACTACAGTGTATGATTGCTTGGGCCAAATAAGGCTCCTAATCATTCCTCTGCATTTTTGACTTTCTCATCTCAACCATCTCCTAACGTGAAGTGGTGTAGGCCAACACAGAAGGTGTGTAACAGCTGAAACTCACCTGTCCTTTCAGTATTTATGTGTCCACCTTAACATTAAGGAGCTGGGAGCTGGTTTTCCACCTTGCTTGGCACCAGGATGGCCATGTGGTTCAGCCTCCACAGGAGCTAGTGTTGATGCCCCATTTTTCTTTGCTATGGGCACCAGCCCAACAGAATTTATCCTGCACAGTGTGGTAATAATACACAGTGTCTCCACAGGACTTGCAGAGGCTGGAACTTCAGTAAGAACCTGCTTCTTTTTTGCAACTCGTGCTTGGTAAAATACGTCTGAATCCTTCTGAAATGCAGTTTGCCTGACCATATAGCAGCATCCCACTCAGCTCATAACTACCCATCTTAAAAATAGTATCTCAAATAATCTAGCTATAACATAAGTACAGAAGGGAATATATTTTCTCAAGAAACAGAAGTGTTTAATTTGCTAGAAATGCTCAGGGGAATTGTATTTCATGAAAGTTCAGGTTTCTCCAAGTGGACCACTGTAGCAGAAGACCATCCTTCTGAGCTCAGATCCACAGGAAAAGTGTAAGCTATAGTTTACATTTCCTCCATCTGGAGTTTCCAAAATTAACGAAGGTCAGTTGTCATTATTTATCTTTACATCTTCTAAAATCTCTGTTCTTTTAGAGTTTGGGGGGAGATTTTAGGTTGTTTGGTTTTTGTCTTATTTTGTGGTGGTTTTATTTTTCAATAATACAGATGAAGTTTAATGAATTGAAAAATATTTACTAGGGTTGTCCATACATAAAGATAACAGAAGATGGAATTTCAAAAGACCACACAGGCAGTGTTGAGCACAAATGCTTTAGCTGCTCGAATAAGGGGTCCAATCCTAGGCCTATGTACATAGTTTTATAAGTCATTCTGTCTCTGTGTCTCTGTTTACCTGCCAGAAAATTAGTCCAATATGCTACAAACTATAGGAGAAAAGAGACAGCTGAAGTTTCCAAAGTTTTCTGGCATACTTTTATGAGACTGGGAAACTGAATCTTTGCACACTTCCAGATAAATATGAAAATCTTTTCACTCTTTATTGCTACAGTGATTCAAATCTAATGCTACTGTAATTCCCTATCAAAAGCTGAAGTATGCAAAGCTGAAGAAGTATTTTTAAAACTGCTTTATAAGCAATGCTTCACCTAGATCCTGTGAAAGATCATTCTTTGGTAAAATCTTAGCATGTACAGAGAAACACAGAGAGAGGGAATAGTTTTAATATATTTTGAAATTTATTTTTCTTAATAATTTCTAGGTCAAAGGTATTGTACATAACCAAGGAGTGCATAGCACTGAATTCATCACTTTGGCTAGCACAGCTCAAAGAGGGCCAAGGAGACTAATTATACACTTCTGTGTGGAGTATATAACATCCATTGGTAACACCTGTGTAGCAATCTAGGAGCAAATACAATCTATAACATCTTCAACTATGTTAAGTGTAGTCTGTTGTGTATATACAAAATCAGAAAAATATATTCCTTTTTTCTTATATACACTATATAACATGAGAATAAAATCTGGAATAGTTTGCAGTAACTTAGATGAGACAGGACTTTTATGATACAGAGCTTTAAAACGTCCTTAGCATCGTTTGTCTTGGACCATTGTGATGAAAAAATTGCAGAAAGAAATCAAACTTTCTGGACAGTATTCCTCAGCTACCTTTTTCTGGTCAATGTAATCTACATCTTCAACACAGTCTTGAGGACTCTGCTGTAGCTTTTTTTCAGTCACAGAGGCAGCTGCTGCAGTCTGAACAACTTCTTTTGCATGATGCATTCTGTTCCCTTTGGCAGGACCTGCTGATGTTAGTAGGCTGGAGTGGGTCAACCTGAGGTGAGCACTTCGTGGGCCTTTCCTACATACTTTAGATTTTAGTACACTTTTTGGGTCCTGACAGATCTGCTTCTGCTTCTTCAGCGATCGGGAGACCTGTTTCCAGTAGGATTTCTGGTTTGCTGCATACTGTGTGCAGGTGGAAGGGTCTCCAGAGAATTCACACCAGAACTTGCTGTCACCATGCCTGCACTCTACGTGCACAGTAGCAGCATTCATGTCAGTCACTGCCCAGGTGCACTCAACATTTTCTTTGGTTTGAAACTTGCCTTTAGGAGATGATTTTCCTCCTTTTGATTTCTGTCCTTTTTCATTTCCTTGGCTAGGTTCAGTTTGGTTTTTTCCAGCATCTTCTATGCCTTGTCTTCCTTTTTTTCTTTCCTTTTGTCTTTCACAGTTGGCTAGTAGCATCTGGGAGATCAGCATCAATGCACAAAGCTGTCCAAAGCTTTTGATCCTCATGGTCTCTGCTTTGCTTGCTATCTGCCTTCAAAACAAACAAACGAACAAAACTATAAAAACATTTTCACTTAATGCTAGACTCTTTTTGACAGGTGATATTTTTCAGGCATGGCACTGCACTGCTCTTTGATACCTACTAAAGTGATGCTATGGGCAAGATGCTTTGTCCTTTGTGTAAATAATCACTGTTTTCTAGACCCATTATGAATTATCCTTGCAAATGGCTGTGGAGTAACTTCCAGTGGCTTAATTACCTATGCAATGGGAAACAGAAGAGTCACTGCCAGGACAGGCTACTGCCCAGTGACTGAGGTGCCTTAATGAAAATCTATTCTGTAGCCAGAGAAGGAATTTGAACCTGGGATTTCTCGATCTCAGATGAATATCTTATGTTAAAACAGCACAGCTGTTGTTCCCACCATCTCCCATTTTGTAAAGTGGCCCATAAATAATTTTGACTCCAGCCTCTGGTTATTCCTCAAAGATTTACCAGACAGAAAGAAAACCTTTAAGCTTAAGTTGAGAAAAACTGTTTTGTAGGCATCCTGAAAAACAGTGTAATTCACTGGTTATGCTAGTATTTCAGTTTCCTGTTGAAAAAAAATTATGATAATCTTTCCAGACATCAAAGAGTAACTGTTGGCACATTCTTTGCCACCTTGACTGCTAAACAAACAGAACCTTTTTGCTTTTGAAGATACCTGCAGTGTGCTGGGCTGTGTCTAAAGCTACCAAACTCAAAGGATACATATGCAATTTCTGTTTTGATATGTAACTAATTAGCAAATTATTATCAAGCTGATCCCTGCATCTGCACAGAGCACATATATTTCTATAGGTGTTTCTCTTTTTGAAGCAGCTTACAGGATCAGAGCAGGGTTTAAATGTGGCATTTAGATGATTAAATCCGTAAATATATTTTTTTCAGCTGTTTCTTTGTCATAGTCATTTCTGTAGCCAGGTTTTGGTGCTAGAAAGCAGGAATTCATGTATAGCCACACTAATAAGGAATCTGTTGCAGCATTCAGTTATCTGCAGATATCTTTAGTTACACAAATTTAGAATGTAGACTACATAGTTAGCAGCGCGTATTAGCAGGTCCTACTTTTGCATTGTTCTTACTTGACTTGTTTCATGCCTTATATGATACATGAATTTTCACTCCACAAAACCCTGTTTAGAGAACCTCGTGTAGCATTGACAGTCCTGTTTCAAATACAGTAGCTAATGACAGTCCTGTTGCAAATACAGTGACTTATAACAGTAAAACTAGGAAAGATTTGACAGTAACCTTCTGTTGCAAGTGGAACAGTGCAAAACCAAGATAACTAAAAGACATACCTTGCACAGGGCTTGGAGATACCCAAACTGAAGTCCTGATGTAACTCACCTCTTTCAAAGGAGTCAGAGCTCTTTGTAAAAGCAGTGAGGTATTTATAAAGGCAGAGACACACCTTCAGGTCTCCAGGAAGACTATTACAACACAATAGGATACTTTAGTGCCATGTTCACTTACCTCTGACACACCTCCTTGGAAAAGTGCCAGTTCTCATTAGCACAAAAAAAAAAAGCCCAGCTATGGTGGGGCAACAAGGTGTGCTTGAGTAAATTAGGTGTTACTTTAGCCAAGTCCTTCACTCCTCATGAGCAATGATAAGGACTTTATCAGATTATAAGCTCCTCTAAAAGGTCTTTTACCAGCTATTAAGGGTTGCATCCTGCAACGCCCTCAACAGGTTACACGACTTGTTTGAGGATTTTTTCTGATATATACACTGTGGTCACTACTGAATTGCTTCTTGTAGAGGCAGCAAAAATGCTAATTGAACCTGCACAGGGGAAGGGAACCAGAACCAGTGAAGGGTTATAGTGTGGTGTGGAACTTTTGAAATATTGACTACATCAGAGATGAAATTCTTGCACACCTTGATGTGGTTGTAGAGTGATACAGGATCAATGTGAGTAGAGTTGAAGACAGAGTATGTACAGGCCAAGATATGAAATATCAGAGAGACATTCTTTCCTAGCTGTGGACATCTTCTTTTGAAGTTGTCTTGGCTTCTGTAAACCACATGTGATCTGAACTGATATAACCAACCAGTATTTTTCAAGGAAGATGCAGCAGTTTCTTTTCTACCTCTTACTTTCAGAAATCAAAGCAACTCAGATTTCCTTTCTAGTTTTTCTCTAACAAAGCCCTGGTCAGAATAGATGGACTTTCAAAAGTCTGTTTCTGACATCAGTGATAGCTCAAGTTTTTGTTCTCAGGATCCCTTTCATAAAGCTTAAGGCTGTTCTGCAAATAAATTAAGCTGTACCAATAAATAGACATGTGCTAATATAATATAATAAATATAATATGATATAATTAATATAACAAAATATAATAAATATTGAATAGTTTACTACCTTTCATTATAGTTCATTATCAGTGCCTGGTAATTTTGTGGGATTTATCACTGGTTCCAAGCACAGCAAAATGTTTCTACTGCCAGAATAAACATTCATTTTATGCACACTTTTTAAATACAGTGAGAAAATGGGAACAGGAACCAAGAAATTGTTCCAGGAAAAGGAAACCAGGAATGAGGAAAGGAAAACCAGAGACTTTATGGTGCAGGAGACTATGCTGGGTCTGGCTGGGATGGATTGAATTTTTTATAGCAGCACATATGGTGCTGTGTTTTAAGTTTGTGACTAGAGCAGTGCTAAGACATACTGATGTTTTAGCTGTCTCTAACCAGCATGAAGGTCTTTGTTTCTCACCATGCTCCCTCTCCAACAAGTAGGCTAAGTGTGGGCCAGAGACTGGGAGAGAACACAGCCAGGGCAGCTGACCCCAGCTGACCACAAGGCCAAAGGGATATTCCATACTGTATGACATTGCACACAGCAATAAAATTGAGGTTTGTCTTTCTGGAGTAACCACAGCTTGGAGACTGACTAGGCATCAGCCTGCTTGGGAGAGGTGTAGAGTGAACATTTGGTGTTGTTTCCCCCCTCTTCACTTATTAATATGTATTTATCTCTGCCCACATTCTTTCCTCTCCGTTTCTCTTCCACTTCTCTCCTCCACCCCACTGGAGAGAGAGAGTGAGAGGCTGGTGGGGACTTGACTGTTGCCTGGGGTCACTCACCACAGACACTTTAATCCTGCAAATAACTAGCAGGAATTTTTATTTCAGTGGATTCCAGATGAAAAAGAAACCAACGGAGTTCAATTCCTGTGCAGAACTTTTCTATCACTAAAAATACCAATGGCCTAGTTACACTGATACTGCCTTGGCTCTGTGCCAATGAAGCCTAATCATTAGTTATCTCAGGAAAGTCAATAAGAAGGTGCAGTCACAGTTGCAACAACTCCTTTGCTGAGTTAGATTACTTTTGAAGAAACTATTTCAGCTATGAAGAAAAAGTGATCATCATCTAACACAAGCTATACTTGCACAAATCACATCAGCCACCATAGCCTGACCTACCCCCTGACAGGGTTAGCCATAAAGTTTATCTTTGGGTTAACCTTGCAACATAGTATAAGCACCCCTTGAATGCCCTTGGGCTGTAAGGGCTCCAGAGATCACATCTGGAAGGGGCTCTGAAAACTCCTGCTGTAAGCTCAGCAGGTCAGAAGAATGACTAAAGGTCTGTGTTTCACAGCTACTGTGTGGGCAGTGGCTCTCAGCATTTCTACAGCTGACACAAAGCTCTTGAAGGCACAGAGAAAGGACAAAGGGAATAGACAAATCTGATTTGCCATTTTCATTTAACTGAGCTCAGCACGTTTGGGTTTATGGTGAATAGAAGGCATTAACAAAGTAAAAAGGTTTCCTGATCCATCTCTCCATTCTAGAGCAACTTGTCATGGTTCTCAAAAGCTGAAAGGATGCACATACCTCAGCATTTATGATGGATATGGGGGTTACTCAGGTAACCAAGAGAAGATAGGACTTCGAAGTAGTTTTTCTTGGATCATTTCTAACTCTACAGCTCCTCCATGTGGAGATCATTAACAAACAAGAAATTAATAATCCTAAACAATAGGTATAAATAATTTTTAATGGGTTTGCAAAGAAGTAACAGCACTCTAAATATTTAGGACATTGTTTTAAGAGGTATTCAACACTGTTCAGCTAGAGCTCCAATTTCTGAAAGCGAGTGAAAAGCAGTGCTTGACTCTGTGCATCCCTCTCACCTGCAGTATGACCAGGATTCCTTACTGGTTCGACATGAGGTTTCCTTAGCAGAGGAAAGTTCCACAAAGCAGTTTATTCACGGCACAATAACACAGCAACAGCCTGAGCTGGTATCTCCGAGGAGGGACCTCCAGCTCCAAGGCTTTCACACCCTCACAGTTTATCCACATGCCAGTCAGCTCCAAGGCTTTCATACCCTCACAGTTTATCCACATGCCAGTCCAGTCTCCCTCTTCCATCTGAATCTTCTGGTCCTGTCCCCTTTCTGTGTCCATCCACTTTGCTGTCACACCCATATTCATCTCCTTTGTTACCCAAAATGCCAGCAATTTCCAGCTCTCACTGTATCTCCCAGAATCCATTCACCTGGCCACCAATACCCATCTTCACGTTCTTTTGTTGCCTCAAAATCTGGCAGTTCACAGCCTCTTGTCTCAGGCTCCCCACCCAGAGCTCATTCAACACTTGCAATCTACATCTCAATCTAGAGCTTGAAAGCTGAAAGCTACCTGTACCTGACCTATTCCTCAGCATTGGGTTCTTTCCAAGTCAGAAACACTTATGATACCAAAAAAAGATGAATAGTGAGGAGGAGAAAAAGTTTCCTTGTTCCTTCAAATCCCTGTGCTTGTTTCTATCGTAATTCAAATTAAGTATGCTCCTGCCAAAGGACACTGCTGCTGTTGAAGTGAAATATGTAGAGTTCTAGAAAAAGTTTTATAGTTCCCTAAGGTGAAGGAAAATGGTGTTTCTGATTTCTTTCAGTTGTTGAGTCACCCTGAGCCAAGAAGATGTCCAGACACCACA